AACCAAAAAAAAATTTAACCAAAGTTTCATGTCCTCACGCATGGGGGATGTGATCCTGATATGATGATAAGCCTTGGTCGTACCTATTGTGGCATTTATTAGGCGCCTACAAAAGGTACTCCCAACCGGAATAGCTCTACAAGCAAAATTCAAACCTCCTAATAGGGATTGTTATTGTTTCAAAGTTGTTCTGGCCTGCGTCAACATGACCCTTAACTTTTGAACAAGTTCTTGTACTTTAATCATAGGAACCCTGATACACATATTCACTGTATCTATTTCAAGACCAAGAAAACACAAGAGGGTACAAGGCCTTCCGTCTTCTCAGGTGCAATCGGTACGCCTATCTCATTGCATACGCTCTCAAATTCTTTAAGAGCTAAATAACACTGGTCAGATTTTCTTACACCTCCGAACAGAAAATCATCCAGGTAGTGAAGTACATCACCACCTCCCAAACGCCTACGGACTATGTACTCTATAAACGTAGAGAACTTTTCAAAAATTGAACAAGAAATTGAACAACCCATAGGTAGGCATTTATCAAAGAAATACATGTCATCAATCTTACAACCCAACAAATCAAAATCCCCGGGCCATATTGGAACTAATCGAAATGCAGATTTAACATCCGCCTTAGCGAGTAATGCCCCTTTCCCAAGCCTTTGTACCATTTGTACTGCCCTGTCGAAGTTTGTATAACAAACCGAACACACTTTGGGATCAATATAATCATTTACTGAACAATTTTCTGGGTAAGATAAATGATGAATCAATCGAAAATCGCCTGTGTCTTTCTTAGGCACTAGGCCCAATGGCGATACCCTCAAAGGTGAAAATGACATTTTGTCAAATGGGCCTTCTACTCTTACTAAATTTAATTCCTTTCTTATCTTTTCTCTCGCCACCAACAGATTGTCACGGACCGACTTTATTTTTTTTGCTTCGTATGCTTTTCGTGGACCCGTATATTGTAAAGGAAACCCAAACTTAAACCCGTTCAGTAACTCGGTTGCTAAATCTGCATTAGGATATCCTTCCAGTAACGAGGCTAAAACCTCCGTTTTTACTGGAGTTGGCCCCGGAGTATACCTTTCCCTGTTTAATTCCTTTGGGGCCCATTTGGTTTTTGCCACGAAAGGAATCACAGCTGCCCTGTGGGTGCCCCCCATGGCAATATTTACAAATATGTTTAAACTTGCATGGATTGAACTTGCATTTATTATCATTGTATGCAATTGCTAACCTAGGTCNGATGAACTTGCGGTAATGCTGGCCCCGCTCATAACACGCGGTACAGCTATCAGTCTCAGCCAAAGATCCGAGTTTAATTTTGTCCATGACTGCAAAGAAATTGCCTGACGTAATCGAAATTGCTCATCAGAGACACGCCATCATTTCACATGCCTTATCGGGAAATTTACGCAAGTAAATATGCATAAATATTAGAAAAGCATCGGTCCACTTTTCAATTGTAGAAAATCTATCTTTTAAAACCTTCGGCTTAGACTCAATAGTGCCGTTGGCATTCAGAAATAGACTATTTCTAGCATAAAAATCCTGTAGCTCTGTACTCCCTCACTCCCGCCGCTGCTCCCCCACCAAATGATGTAGAGACCATGCCTAAAGGGAATGGGGATGTAGTTGACCCCCCACTTAACAATGTAGGGGCAGGTTGAACGGGGGATTGCGCCGGAAAACTATTATTGAGAACGGAACCCCAAACATCAGAAACAGTATTTAGTTGTATACCTGTCGGAGCATTCGGAGCATCCTGCTGACCATTGCCCTGGACAGCAGGCAATGGAACTGCGTGGTATTCATTGACCACGTGCACCATGGCCTCATGCTCCGGCTCCGGCTCTGGTTCCGATCTGGTAGGCTCCTCTGCAAATTTTGCCGGACGCCGTCTCTTCCTTTGCTCCAGCGCCCTAGCCGGAGTACCTTCTGTTGCCTTTCGCTTTCCGCCGATCTTTTTGTACACTGGCATTATTATTGTTTTAATTTTGAATACGACTTGACTTGTTGTGCGTGTTACGTGCTCGATGGTGGGATGAAAAAGGACAAGGATGCGCTGTATCCCACTGCGCATTTTCAGACTGACCCCTCAGCGCCCCCCTATCTTACAATTACTTTACCAACAGGGGGTGCTAACTGCTGTCAGCTACTTAGCCATCATTCGAAAATCAAAATAAATCGCGTTTAATTTGAAACGATTAAACGGCATTATTGTGATGAGAATTTACAGATATATGCACAGTGTACATTATCGCATACAAGCCTTCCGTATTTTTGTCATTCCGTGATTTTGATCTACAAATGATACCAAATCGCACAGTTGTGCGGAGAGAAGCGCAAAATAGAGCGAACGATTGCTAAATCGCACAGCTGTGCTCAATATGTATGGAACAAGTGCGGACGGTGTGTGAACGATGTATGCAATGTGTGCGCACGCTATTTTTGGTGAGTTGTGCGGTCCCACAACTGTACAAAGCGGTGGTATACTGAATGATACTACATTTTTGTGTGTTATCATACATTTCCTTCTGTTTTTTGTTTTACTTGTATATACGGGACCCATTGGTTGTTTTCCGTACAAATTGTACCAATGCATTTGTGTTTGAAGTGCGCTCGGTTCTTGTAGAACAGAGAAACACAGCTATAGTATTAAGGTGCATTCAAAGCAAAGTTAATTGTATCGTAAATAACCTGCTCTAATATTATATTGAAGGTTAGTGAATACATTTTTTATAATAATTTAAAATTTATTTTTCTATAAATATTTAGCGCATCACCATCTTTATATGACACATCACTGTATATACATGTATTAACCTAAGTGAAGTGAAGTCAGGTTTCTGGTTTCTATTTCAAGGTTTTGTTTCTTAAAAAATATACATTGAAAACATTTTTCGTATTAAGCCAAGTTTATATATAAAAAAAACTACAGACGTTCTTATTTTCTAAAGATTTAAACGCTCTGGGAAAATTAGTTTTTGACGAAAAAATCCCTTTATGATCCCTACATCATAGGAATAACAATATCTGAGAAAATCGGTGAAGATTAAATATAGTGAGCTTTTCTCTCTCCATTTCACTATCGTCATGTTATAAGTAAAGAGTGAGCAGCTGTAGACAAGTATAAACACATGTTATTGATTTCTTGTTTGGGAGTACAGATCTGATCGAAATAGTCAATACAGATTGACTATAAAGATTACACAAGGTCAATATATGTATAAGTGAAATTGAAAGAAATGAACGGATTTTATGTTCTTCCTGTCCTGATAAACTGATCAATAACCTCATCGTCATTTGAAAACAAAAACAGTTCAGACACAAGGGCAAGTTTGTGTTCTATTGGATTACCAAAAGTAAGCTGGAAAATCTTCCGACAAATTAAACAAAGATATTATCTACCAGGTATCGAATTATTGTCTCCATTTCACCCTCATCATATTTGATCGTCGGTTTTTTAGTAGTCTAACAAAGCTATTTTGTAATTGTATAGTTGTTATTTTTACATATGCAGGAGATAGGGTATTTTGTTGTGCTTGCCTCCTTGTGATAGCGCGAATCTGATACCCACTTTATAGTGCTATCTCACTGAAATACCATGCTGAAGGCACCCATCACAGCATTCCGCCCGGTCACATTATACTGACAACGGGTGAACCAGTTGTTGCCATTCCCCTAAATGCTGACCGTTAAGCAGGGAATAACAACTACCATTTTTAAGGACTTTGGTATGTCCCGGATGAGTACAGAGCCCATTGCCTTCCTCATCTGGGTAAACGCTCGACATTAATGCCAAAAGTGAGGTGTTGCCAAGCAAGGCGCTAGGAAATTAAAGGTAGTTAGAAGTAGAAAGAAAGATAAACATCCCAAATATTGCAATGGGTGCAGCAGATTTAGTGTGGTCGCGTTTGTGTATAGAGGACACCAAAGCAATTATCCAGGGGGCTACAGTATTAGTCGCCTACTACGATAGGGGTGGAGCCCTAGGCCTCCAGGATGGCCAGACCAAAGGTTGATACCAATATCATGATTGTGTTTGTCTCTTTTTACTCAGTTATTGTATAAATGGTTATAGAATGGGCATGTATCATACTTGTATCAAGTTGAAATCCAAAAGTCTTAGACAGAAAGGGTGTGGCCAGATCTTAGGGTCGATTCTGATACTGTGATTTTGTGTATCTCTTCATGCATTGCAACCTTATATAAAGTTATGAGATGGGGACCTCAACAGTTTGAAAGTTTCGACCTAGGGACTAAGTCTTCATGGATAGTGCCAGACCCTGGCAATTCCATATGTAACATAAATGTGTCCTAATAGACAAACCTAACCCCATGTGCTCCTGTTGGTCCATGGATATTTATGTGTAAATACAAACATTTTTGTATACAGTAAACATATTTTACTGTGTATAAAATAACTAATCGAAAAAATATGACTACATGTAACACTTACGAACGATACCTGCATATGTTTTATTTTTTGTTAGGAATATGTTAGGTTCTGTCGTTTTAGAAAAAACTCATGTTTAATGAAACACTTGTCAGCGTCTTCAAGTCCTAAGTTCGGCTAAATGATTGGCAGAAAGTATAAGAGAAACAAGTAAAATACCAGATGTTTACTATATGATCTATTTTAGTTCATATCAAAATATACTTTATTAGTTAGTTCGTAGCCTAATTCATGTCTTGATTCAACATAGTTGTTGACAAAGATAGTATCAGTTCATAACCTAAGTGCTTTGCAAATAAGAATTCAAAATTGAATAGATATAAACGATGTATATGCATGGAAAATTGGGTTATTAATGTATGAAAATATAGTATCTGTCATCGGACAATAATACCTGATAACGAAACTCCTTTACTATTTATATAAAGAAAGTTAAACAGATTGCATGTCAACATCTAAATGCATCAAGTATCACGTTTAGCAAGCAACAGAAAATATCAAAAATATTGGCGGAATACATTTTGTAGCTTACCTTAGCTTTCTTGTACAACTGATAATCAATTTCCTTCCTTTCTGAAAATGTTTAGGAGGACGCCATTGTAGAGTCACTGTTTGGGGCTTAATGTGATTCACAGCTGACAAGTCGATGTATCCTGTCGGATCATATACTCTATATGTGCAATGACCTAGTGGTACGATGTGGTCTAACATTATATACAATTAGGCGTGTTTCCATCATAGGATATATGTGTATGTACAGGTATAATGGGCTACGATTTCACTGAAGTGTTTACTTAGTTATGACACATACAAATGTAAAATAACTTACGGGGACGATGACGCTTTTAATCCTATAACATATGGCGTGATGATCTGTGTATTATTTTTGTGTATATACAATGAAGTACGGGTACAACTATTATCTTTAGTTGTATATTATATACATGCATGTACAATGACTTATAGTAACAAATCTGTTATGCAGTTGTATATTATATATGTGTATGTATAATGACGTACGGGTACTTATCTTATAAACAGTTGTATATTTCATCTTTGTATGTACAACACCTTTCGGGTACAACTATTTTAGTTAGTTATATATTACATCTGTTTATGTACAATGACGTATGGGTACCAATCTTATATACAGTTGTTTAATGCATCTGTATGTGTATACTGACGTAAGGTACAAATATTATATACAGTTGTATAGTATATATATGAATGTATAATGACGTGCATGTACACATCTTTTATAGAGTTGTATATTACATCTGTTTATGTACAATGACGTATTGGTACCAACCTTATATACAGTTGTTGAATGCATCTGAGTGTGTATACTGACGTATGGGTACAGTTTTCATTTCATCATATTTTATTGAGTAAACATTAGGATTGAACAGCAGACTAGGCCTATATAAGTTTACTCCTAATGTTGACATGACAAAGACAGCGAGGAAACGATTAATAAGAAAATGTTCATGCAAGACATATATCATTAGTATACATCATCAGACCATATAACAAATGTTATAGGGGAGATAAATCCATGTATGTTTCATTTATATATAAATATGTAATTGATACTTTCAGCTATAGAATGGTATTATTAAAAGTCAATTAAAATGAGTAAGTGATAGACAAGCAATGCCCTAATGCTATATCAAACAGAGGATTTGCTACAATCTTCATAATATGCAAGTCATTAATGCCCCATGTTCATTCCCCGTTGTTGTTACACGAAGAAGTTAAAAGCATAAATTCATGTTGCATCAGTACCGTATATATCCATTGGTTGGCGTGATAACAAAGTAAGGGATACAACAACAACAACAACAACACAATAGACAATAAAATGAGGAAATACAGCTAGAAGATTTTAAAATACTTGTAGTATATGTGTAAGATGTATTGCCATTGTTTTTAGTGTAAATCTTTCATCCCATCGAGTTTCAGACAAAAAGTCACTCACGACCTTAACCGTTCACATATCATCCATCGAAAAGAATCCAGATTCAACCACAGAGCACTTAAGCAATCAAACTTAGCATATTTTTGTTTTACTTTATTGCACCCATCAGTAGGAACAACACCTAAAGCTTAATGTATATTGTATAAACATCAATGTATATCTAACAATCAATTGAATCACATAATGGTTTAAGGACAATATCTCTTTTATCAATTATATCTATATATAACAAAATTTTAAGATTATTTGAATTAATTAAACGAGATGTTTATATATTTAAGAACACTATCAAGTATATATTTTTTTTCATTATTGTTGAACATAGTGCTTCCATTAAGAAGTATTTTAGTATCAAGATTAACCGGACAAACATCAACAATCTCATTTATTAAAGTCAGTTTTCACATTTATACATTAAACATTGTAAAAGATAATGAATAGCAGTTGCATAATAATCATCACACATACAAGTTGGAGACTCTTTCAATTGATCTTTCAACATATCATAGTTCAGCTTACTCGCCTCATTTATCAGTTGACATAAGATTATATTACACTTTCTGCTTTCACAAATTTTAAATACATTCGGGATATCATTATTGAAACATATTTTATCATATACCTTGGCCTTAAATTTATTTAAGTAGGGGAATGTACTATATCATTTTTAAGCCCATTGAATTTGTTGCACATTACTGGGAAGAAACTTTTAACATATGATTATGTACGACATAGTGGCGGGTTAAACATTTCTACATTTCTTAGAGTAAACCTTTCATTTTCTGGGTTATGAATACGAGGATCAATTATGTCACGGAGGTATGTGGGCGATAAATCATAAATCATCTTATACATCTGAATAAGCTTATGGTTCATCCTCTGATTAGACAGAGATTCCCAACCTAGTTCTTTATATAGAGTTTGTGTGATGTACCTTTCCTTAGACCTGGCAACTTCTAGTTGTACAGATTATATTACATTTTTAAGAGCAGTTATCCCAGACAATACCTGAATGTATATATCTTGCAAAGTGATTTCTTACCAGTCTTATATTTCAGGTATCTAAACATATTTTATTCTTTTACTAGCCTTTTTTCATATATTAATTGTCCACGGGTAGACCAAGTGCCAACTTCTGAAAGAGTTACTCCAAGATGTTTGTGATCATGGGCATTATCTATATAAGTATTAGTGAACTTAATTAGAGGATAGATTGGACCCTTTTTTTTAGAAACAAATGGTGATTTGGTTTTAGTGGGGTCAGATCTAATATCCTATGCACTAGCCCAGTAGTTAATTATATCTTGGTCCTGGTTAATATAATATGCTGCTAGTTTTGGGTTTTCGTCTACAATGACATACAATCATGTATCGTCTGCAAAAAGGTTAATGTTACCATGTACTATATCAGTGATGTCATCAATGCATAAAAAAAAGGACCGATAACTGATCCCTGAGGAACACCGGCATTTACTACCCTAAAAGAAGACGAATGACCTACAGTTAGTACTCTCTGTTTTCTATCTTCAAGATAACTCTCAAATTAGTTTAAAATATTGCCTGATATACCATATGCTTTAAGTTATGAAGTAACCCTTTGTGCTAAACTCTATCAAACGGCTTGCTGATGTCGCAAAATACAAACTTTAACTCTTTCCTTTTATATAGGCTACAAATTATGGTGTGGTATATAAAGAGAAGTTGGTTTACTGTTAAATCACCTGGTTTAAAGCCTGATTGGTCCTTGGAAAGTATTTTGTTAGTTGTTAAATAGTTCTATACATTTTTTTTNCAAAGTGATTTCTTACCAGTCTTATATTTCAGGTATCTAAACATATTTTATTCTTTTACTAGCCTTTTTTCATATATTAATTGTCCACGGGTAGACCAAGTGCCAACTTCTGAAAGAGTTACTCCAAGATGTTTGTGATCATGGGCATTATCTATATAAGTATTAGTGAACTTAATTAGAGGATAGATTGGACCCTTTTTTTTAGAAACAAATGGTGATTTGGTTTTAGTGGGGTCAGATCTAATATCCTATGCACTAGCCCAGTAGTTAATTATATCTTGGTCCTGGTTAATATAATATGCTGCTAGTTTTGGGTTTTCGTCTACAATGACATACAATCATGTATCGTCTGCAAAAAGGTTAATGTTACCATGTACTATATCAGTGATGTCATCAATGCATAAAAAAAAGGACCGATAACTGATCCCTGAGGAACACCGGCATTTACTACCCTAAAAGAAGACGAATGACCTACAGTTAGTACTCTCTGTTTTCTATCTTCAAGATAACTCTCAAATTAGTTTAAAATATTGCCTGATATACCATATGCTTTAAGTTATGAAGTAACCCTTTGTGCTAAACTCTATCAAACGGCTTGCTGATGTCGCAAAATACAAACTTTAACTCTTTCCTTTTATATAGGCTACAAATTATGGTGTGGTATATAAAGAGAAGTTGGTTTACTGTTAAATCACCTGGTTTAAAGCCTGATTGGTCCTTGGAAAGTATATTGTTAGTTGTTAAATAGTTCTATACATTTTTTTTTTTTTCTAAGATTTTACTAGAACACGATGTTACAAATATTGGTCGATAATTGGAGTACTTATTTTTCTAATTTTGATAGAGTGGATATATCCAGTACTGGAGTTCAACAAGGGTATCTGATGTGTAGCTATATGAGTAAAATATTCATTAAGGGCTTCAGCTTGATCAGCTGGATGTTGCATCAGTGTATTATTAACATTCAATTGTGGTTTTGGTTCAGTTTTATTGTTGAAATTAGTTATGGATTTGGCATTTTCCCACCATTTATTAGGGGGCAATGTTTTATCACTTAGAGACTTTTGAAGTTTATGAAGATAACTATGTTTTGCATTGGTTACCAGATGATTAACATAATTGCGTATTTGTTTATATTTATTTCAATGCTCTTTTTTTTCAGTATGTCTGGCTTTCTTGTGTATCCTATTTCTTTGCCTCATCTTAAGCCTTATATTGTTATTCATCCATGGTTTGTCATCAGGTCGGATTGTAATAGTTTTACTAGGAATATATTTTGCCATCAGGTCAGATAAAGATTTAGTTAAAAACATACTCAATTCGTAGGTATCCATAGCAGCAGAAATTAATCTCAAGTCAATAACATTTAGTTCGTCATTCATAATATTATAGTCAGTATTGTCATACATCAATACAGTCCTTTTTATATGCTTAATGTTTGAGGAAGGCATAACAAACTTCCATATATGAACGGGAATGGTCACAACAGAAAGCAGGGTCAACATGTGTATTTTTCACAATGGAAGGATTGTTTGTAAAACAACGTTTATAGAGGTTGTACTGTCAGGTGTCATTCTAGTTGGTTTATTAATAATACTTTTCATGTTGAATTCAGTTAAGAATCTAGATAAGTAAGAAGTGGGTGCTGTTTTAGCATATCAACATTTAAATCAACAGCTATTAGTAAATCCATGGAAGTTTCATTAGTTTTATCAAGGATGTGTTCAAATGTACTCCAGTATTCAATATTAGAATCAGGTCTATAGATACATCTAAGCAGACAGATATGGTTCCTAATTCAAATTTCTATTCAAATCATTTTTATATGTTCACTTTCAAGATCATGTCTACGTTTGGTAAGAATATTAGTTTTATAGTAGATAATAACACCACCACCATGTCCTGTTGTCCTCACTTTCTTG